AATATATATATATATATATATATATATATATATATATATATATAATTGTAGGTTCTTTTTGTTGTTGAGAAGTATGTTGTTCACTTACTCTTTTCATTATTGAAGCAACATTGTATTCATCAGGAGATTTATTGATGGGAAGTGTTTTTGCTTTATTTTTTGTTATAAAAATAAATTGAGTAATGACAGATCTTTTTTCATCTGGATCAGAAATTTTGTCAATAATGTCCAAGATGAAATTATCTTCTTGGGTAAGTGGATGTACATTATGTGTAGGTATAAGACAACTACAATCATTATTTTTTATTGAACTAGATGATTCTGTATCAGAAGTATTGGAAGAGTCAGAGGATTCTGTCCAGATAATATCATCATCCTGAATTTGGTCTATCTGAGAATCAGTAGAAGTAGAAGAAGTTGAATCATAATTGATTATATTATATAATTTTGTTTTTATTGTTTCATCTAAATGTAATGACTCTATTTTCTTTTTTAATTTACATTGATGTTTATAATATCCTACTTTACCACACTTATAACATACTGGTAGTTTTCTCTTACCTTTTGTATTGGGAGAAAATTTATTGATCAGTTTTCTTTTAGACTTTTTATAATATTTTCTCTTATCTTTATCTTTAGATTTATATTTTTCCTTTTTATATTTTTTTCTTTTTCTTATATAATTGTTCAGGCATATTTTTTCTATCAAGATAATATCCAAATTGTTCACAAAAATCACCAAGTTCTTTACGCTTAGTGATTTCTTGTTTATCTAATTGCCTTTTGAGTTTCATGTCTGTGCATAAAGCTAATCCTTCAGCACATATTTCTGCTGATAACTCTCCAAGTGTATATGATGAATATATTATGATTCTATTATGTTTCTTTTGCAGTCTTTCTTTGACTTTTTCTGCGAATAAATATGGTAGACCAGCTATAAATTTTTCTTTCCAGTGGTCTAACTGGCAATCTTCTCTTATTAATAATATTGAGAAAAATACATCTTTATACCATTTATAATGAGATAGTGTAGGACAGCGGAGATTGGAGAGCAGATCCTCCGATCTTGCTGCTAACAGTGCTGTACTGCCTACAAAGTGAAGTGTAATGGTATATATCAAAGTATTTACGGCATCACTTTCCGTATAGATTATTTCTTGATTTTGTTCATTTCTGACGGTCCATTGTCTAGTATTAGTGAGGATTCTATTTTTTGTTTCATCATCTACATAGAAATCCCACCAACCTCTTAACCAGCCAGTAAATCCATTTACTATTGCTTTTGCAACCTCTTGGTCTGGGTTGCCTGCCATTTTATTTGCAGAGGCAAACATGGTCATATGTCTCATGACATCTAATATTTTTAATTCAGATAATCCATCTATTGTCCAGTTTACTATTGATCTTCCTGAATATGATACTACTTGTTGTATAGCATCTTCTTCCATTTGAATATCAACAGGTGTAGGTCTTTTATGATATGGTAAGGCTGTTATTGGTATCCAATTTTTTCCATAGGCTATTCTATTGAGATCTATGGGAGTGGTATCCATAAATCATTTTCTTGATTTTGGATAGTATCTTCTATGATTGGTTCTTCTTGGAGCATCATTGTTTCATGCTCAGGTAGCTTTGTTTTTCCTTTATCTGAAGATTCAGGTAACGAACTGGTAATAGTGGGTGAAGGAATATTTATTTTGGGAGAAGGTATTCCTTTAATTTCTAATTGGGATAATTTTGCTATTAATTGATCCATTAAAGACCTATTGTTATCACCAATATGAAATTTATTTTTATTTAATTCTGGAGGTGGTTTGAATAGAACTGCTTTAGGTATAGGTGTAGCAGAAGGTTGTCCTTTTGAAACAAGTCTTTCTATTCGTTCTGCCTGTTTACCTAAAGATTGCATATACAAATTTGTATAATTATTTTGTTCTACAATATGAGGAATCAATTCCTGTTTCTTACCAAGCTCTTTTGGTAAGACTTTATAGGGAGCAGCTATTATATCATATATTGATTGTGGATGTGGTTGTTCATCCTTGGATGGGATGACTGCTTTGAGTATTATACTCTTTTCAGGAAGGTATGTACTAGCAGTAGTAGTACCATCCGTACTGATATAGGTTTTTTCTTCTATTGTTTGAATGTTGTCAAATGAGGGAATAGTAATATTATATTGACTACACATTTCTTTTAACCATATAAAAAATCCTTTGGTTACTCTTTCTTTTTTAAGAAATTTATTATATTTTATGTGCATTAATTCTATTGATCTAGGTTGAAATGTTTTCAAATACCATTCTCGAATATATTTATTTTCATCAGATAAATAATCTTGTCTGATATAATCTTTATTAATTTTTCTTCTTTTCCTTTCCAATTTGGCTGCTAAATATGCTGCCATATATTCATCAGAATATTGATCATATGGATTTATTTCTTCTTCTATATCATCTTCAATTTGTAATGTTAAGATTTGAAATTCTTCTATACTAGGTTCAGGAGTGTATGCTATATTTGATTCAGGGGTATATGTGAGAATAACAACATGATCAATTGTTCTTCTTATTCCTTGTAATTGTAGATCTGAACGAGGTATTGTTTGAGAAGAAGAAGATTGAGAAGGAGGAGGAAGTATAATAACATCAGGAGTAGTGGAACAAGATTTTCTACTTGGTATTAATGGTTTTCTATCTCTTTTTCTGTTTACATTTATATCATCATGTACTTTCAATTGTTGGAATTTTATTTCAATATTTCCATCTGGATGTTCTATTATTTGATTTGGAATACTATTTCTTGGAATTTCTTGGGGTTGATTTGCATGTTGCAATGCCCATGACTGTGGTAGAACAATGTCTGACCACTTAATTGTTTTTGGTACAATTGTGTGAGATTTTTCCATATTTGATTGAAATAATATAGTTTGATCTTTTTTATCTATTCTCATAATATTTGGACATAAGGTGTTCATGACTTTATAATATATTCTGCATACTATAGCTAAATTTTGGGAACCATGTGTCATATTAAAACCATGAGTTTTTAAATTTATTGTTAGTATATCTAGAATAATTGGATCAGTTAAAGAAACCGAAAAATTTGGAAAACAGTTAAAATATATATATATATATATATATGAGTTATTCTATAATGGACTTCGAATTTAGTACTCCTAAATTTTTGACAAATGCCCTTACAAATATAAAACTTACATCAACAATGGCTTATTTAAAAAATTTTACTAGGGCATTTTTGTAATTTTAAATTTCTTTTAAAGTTCAATCATCATTCAAAAAATCAAAAGAATCTTTTTGAATTTGAAATTGGGTTTTTGTGGAAGAGATTTTGAAAAGACAAAAATACCCTTTCCAAAATACATGAAATATTTATGGTCAAAAGTCATTTTTGACCATATAAGGGCATTTTATGGTAAAAAAATTTGGGTACTAAATTCTAAATTCACCGTTAGTACAGTTTATTCTAGAACAACCCTATATGTATGCATACATGAGTATGTGTGTATTTCGTGCCGCGAGAGAGAGAGAGAGAGAGATTAGAATATGGCGCATTTAAAAGTAGACTCATCATCGTCTCCAGATCAAAACTATTTTCAGTTGATAAACAACAAACTTGATTATGACAGTAAATCCAAATGCTTCTGTGAGAGAGAGATCAGAATATGGTGCATTTAAAAGTAGCCTCATCATCGTCTCCAAATCAAGACTAGTTTCAGTTGATAGACAACAATCTTGATTACGACAGTAAATCCAAATGCTTCTTGCAAGGTGTGAAATTCTCTTCTATATGGCAATTAAGTTAATGCAGGAAACTCTTACATGTTGAGATTTTAAGCCACCTTGACTAGCTAATACATTTTCTATCATAAATGAAATTTGATTTTCTTTCAAGACAAAAAATTATATTAACTTTTCAGAGAAAACAAATTCTCTTGCAGATATCCTTAAGCAACAATATGCTGCAAAAGCCCTAAATTTATGGAAGCACAGTACAACACCAGCCCAAGAATAAAATATGACAACCTCAAAAGCTGTAATTTTGCAACAAATCAGAAAAGCATACAACACTTGATTGAACTGCACAAGTTTTAAGCAAGTTGATTTCAGAATTATGAGTAGCTATCAAAGTTTAAAAAAAGATAAATCAAAACAGCAAGTCGAAACAAGCTAAATCTGTAATCTGTAACCAACATCGAAATCAACACAAGTTAACAAGCTACATCTGTAATCTGTAACCAACCTCAAAATCAACATAAGTTAACAAGCTAAAATACCACAACTAAAACTCAATAAATGGAAACAAGTTGTTCAAGTGAAAGGATGCAAAATCTATAACCTGTGGACAATAGTCTTTCTTAGCACCAGCTAAGATGCGACCATCTGCCCTCATGCTTGTGAATAACTCAGCCAACAAGCGCCGAGTATCACTTGTGTCTGCCTTCGGACAGGGAAGCATTGTATCAGCCACGTTATAAGAAATACAAATCTTCCCAATGTATTCTTCCCCAAGGTTCAGAAGCAATGAAAGGAAACCAAGAATCATCAGCTCTGCGATGACCAAAACCACAAATCAATTATAATCAAATAGTAAATTTTTAACTACTTTTGGGTACATTAAATTTTAACCACCTAATGTTAGGATATAATACGGTTTGGGCCATAAGTACCGTTCTCCAATCTATGAAAGAACCAGGGAGTGCACACAACAGCTAGTAAAAAATCCTTTGATATGTGAAAGGTAATGTGGAATATGATATATTCTTAGAAAACAAGCAGATTACAAAACTAAGAAAGTGCTTCTGCAAATTATCCACAAAAGATTATTGCAACCATATAAAATGTCTCCTATTTTATTTTTGTACAGTATTGTGTCTCACTAACGTAGATTTGTGAAAAGTATGGAATCTTAAGGGGAATTTTTGGCTTTCCACCAGTTAATTTGTAAGTAACTATTGGTATAATAAATAATGCAGCAATAGAATACCATAATTATAGGCATGAACCTTTGGACCTCCGATGTTAATATCTCTAAGTTGGTTTATACGTGTGCATTCTTATGCTGTATTTGATGTGTCTCCCCTAGACCTAGGGGCTATATAAATCCCATCCACCCCACATCTCAGATTGATCTCTAGCACAGGCTAGTTGTCTAATTCTTACATTTGAAGTATACAGACCTTGAAAAGAAGAAGAAACCCATGTTTAACAACAATACTATTCCAACTCAAATCTGAATAAAGTGGCCCATAAACAAGATCAAATAGAGAAACAAACATAGTTATATGGAAGAAAAACAAAGACAGCATAAATCAGCAAAAGGCCAACTACACAGGCATCCCCGGGATCCACTTGAATTGCAGGAATCATCATCATCAGCCACACAATTCTATTTTTTTTCTTTTCTGCATAATATAACTCAAAATGAAGAAAAAAGAACAACAGATGAAGTTAAGAAGAACAAAAACAAGCCATAATTAACTTCAAATCAGCAAAATACAACAACCAAATTAGCTCAAATTTCCTCAAAATCATGTGTACAAATAAGAAAATAAAAAACCAGATATCCTAACCATAAAAACAATATATAAAGACTTAAAGAATCAAGTAAAAAATCTTCAAAATATAAGCATTTGCAAAGAAACAAATAAAAGGAACCATCCAAAACAACTGTGGTAAATCAACCCCATCCCATAAAAACTCAATAGAAGTTTTCAATTCCGATTTCAAAAAAACGAGCACAACTCATGCAGAAACTAAAAGTTTCCCTCTTTTTTAATGATGATGGAGAACAAAATTTATAAAGGATCCAACAGCGTCATGCGAAGAAGGTTAAGATATTGCAAAAACACAGAATCAAAGCCACAACAGTACGTCATTCAACGTTATTACAATCAATTCTTACCGTCTTTAATCCTAACCAAAGCCTCAAATAGTGCCTTCTTATGTCGAGCCGTGAACCACTGAAAGCAATTCGAACTCAAAATGTCAAAACCAAAACCCAACCTTGAAAGAACCTCTAGAGAAGAATAGACATTAATCCAAATAAAACTATGACGTATTGAGGCAAATAAAAGAATAAAAGAAAAAGATAAACTACCTGACCAAGTCGATAAAGCCCCTTCTCCAATACTACAGAGATTACAACGATAACAGCGCAAACAATAGCAACAGCCCAAGTTGGGGTCTCCCACATAGCCCTGCCATTTGAAGCATAACTAATCCCTGCCATGATTACGCCCAAAATAGCCCCCAATAAAAAGTTAGATTTCTAGGGGTTTTGGGGAACCAATTACGGTACTGAAAAACCCTACGTCTCAATATTTCAGTTCATGACCACATCCTCAGACAATATAGAGCAGGAACTGAGGGATTTCTTTTTGCCAATTGTGGGAATATCTACCCTAATTCATTGTAATTCAGTTGATCTCCAGTTCCTGCCATTGCTTTAAAACCTTTGAGAGGTGCAGACTAAATGAAGCAGATATTTTGGGACTTTTCCCCATTGATGGAGACTTAAACCGCTGGCATTTTCCAATCAAGAGTGGATAAGGGCCAAGTCCACACGGTAACAGATGACTGAATTTCAAGCTCCCACCCAAACTTGAAATGTATTAGTCGAATTACCATGCACACGTGGAGGTCAATGATCTCTGTCCCAGAGTAATTGGCCATTGATAGGACGAGTACTATCTTCTGCAAACTGTCAATTCTTTCACTAAAGACAACCCCCCTGCTTGTCTTTTGCTCTCTCTCTACCGGTGCCCGGTTCTTGCCCAGTCGAAAGTGGAAACCATGAATCTTTCTCTCTCTAAAAGGACTTTCTCAAAACGATGACTAAAATTTCTAGTTTCCTCTCTCTCTCTCTCTCCTCTTTCACTCTCTCTCTCATCAAATATTCTTCCAAGCAGATAGAGAGTTACTAATGAAGGATCTTTCTCTCTCACATCAATAATGAGTCCGTCCCTCTGTGTGGTCCTACCTAGAGGTAGGGCCTTGAATTAATGCCCTAGAAAAGGACACTTGCAATCCCGCGAAACTTCAAAACCTCGCCATTCCTGTCTGTGAATTTTGAACTACGGAAAAAACGGAGAAGCGTTCCATCCAAATCTGCGAAACTGTGACACGACACGCTCTCCCGTAAACTAGTGAGAGAGAGGGGCACATTTCGATAATTATGATCACTTACCACAATCCCTTACACGACAAAAACATCGACACTGCGTTTGGAAATGCTCCAGATAAAGTTTTTTCAAAATTCAGTGATTTACGACCTGGACCGTCGATTTGGATGGGACTGAATCCGTTTCAGATTATAGATTCCAGCTCAGTGCCACTAAAACCCTGTTATATATATATATATATATATTTTAAGTTTGTTTAATATTTTTAATTTTTATTTCATTTTATTTATTTTTAATATTCTTTGGATCGCTTATCTAAACCTGATCCAGATCATTGATTCAACAATGTGACATATTTGTGGGTGAAGAATCCTGCCTACTAACCTAAGTTTTGAAACACTATTTTATTTTTTTAAGATTTTGAGAGGTGAATGTCATGTAAAAAAAAAGCTTAAAAGTTAAAACAATAAAATCTATTTTTTTTTGTTACCCGACCGGTATATTCTCCTGTATGAGCATATTGTACAATTACTCCCCTGGATTGACGGAGTTGATATCCAAATTATGGGGTCAATTAGGTCGTGTCTCATTGAATAAATGGACATATGTTCTAGCGGGAGCATAAAACTTTAGCCGATTGTTGTTGTACGGACGGAATGGTACTCGGACACTAGTGCCGTCTTTTTTTTTGCGAGGTATTTTCCCCCCCCAACGTAGAAAAGTTAATATTATCATTCCTGTCGTTGATTTGCTCGATTGCTACTCTATACTTTTAGGGCCTGTTTCGATAGATAAGGAAATACAATTATCCGTGCTATTTTAACACAGTGATGCAATAAATGTTTTGATGTTGTAGCATGTTCCCTAGTTGAGATTGCTATAAAATTATTTACTTTTGTTATGAATAAGTCACAATTATTTATAGTTATAGGATGTAAAATTTAATAAGTTGAAGTGAATCATAATATTCGAAAAATTTTTATTTTAAACTTTGTATCCAATCAATAACATATCCTCACCTACCTGTTTTAACATCCAACGATCAACAAAGATTGTAATCTCCCTATATCAAAAGCATATATCTCATTGTATGCATTTCCTTCCTAACTTTTGTTTAAAGACACCGTTTCAAAGACGAGAATTTTACAAACTTTTGGGAGCAAATTTTACACACGAGACATTTACAATGCTTGACAAACTCACATGGCTATACTTTTAAATTAGCTAATTTTTAATTGAGTTAATTACATACAGACCTTGTACAAATATATAAAATATCGTTTGCTCCGTTTATAAGCGAATATTACAACAAAGGTTGGTTTGACCGATTTTTTTTTTTTACAAAATTATCCCTCTGTTTGAGGATTCCATACCTCGCCCGCTTTTATTTTTTTATTGATTTCCATGCGTAGGGCACTGCCCAATGGGACAAGGGCATTTCCCATGCAAATCGAGGATTGTATCCCCAGAGGAATGGAAAATAAAAAAAAATTAAAAACGGTCTGGGGATAGAATCCTCAGACCGAGGGGTAATTTCGTAAAAAAAAAAAAGATGTCGGTCAAACCGACCTTAGTTGTAATATTCGCCTATAAACGTAACAAACTGTGTTTTATATACTTATATAAGGTCCGTATGTAATTAACTCTTTTTTATTATTTTACACCATAGCTTATTTACACAACTTATTTACACCATATAGCTTTGATTTTATATCATGTAGCTAATTTCAAAGCTATATAAATAAGTTTATATAGTACAAAGAAAACTTTGCCAACAAAAGAAATTAAGATAATGCAACATCTATATAAATTTTTTTTTGTAATTATCAATAAAAGTCGTAATCTTGGTAAATAAATAAATAATGCAACATCTATCTCTTTCTTTCTTTTTTAACATTCAAAAGAAATTAAGACAATGTAAATGGGAAAAAAGAACCTTAAAATATTCAATGGTTTATAGGCATCCACGAAAACGATATCTCAATATTCACGTATGTTTGTAAAATAATGAAAGTACAAAATGCACTACATCAAAAGTGTTTTCAAACTCGCAAAATACAAATTTTAGAGGGTTTCGGTGATTTTTTGAAATTTTTTAGATCAAAACAGGCTAAGTCTCCAATCCACTTGACCATCGATCCGACTCGGTTTCTTTGGTGGCCAATCTATTGTTGTAAACCTTGGGATGGACCATTGAGTGAAATGTAGTACGGAGAATAGGGGAGAGAGAGAGAGAGAGAGAGAGCATGATTTATGGCCGGAAACCCGAAAACATAGCCACAGTTCCATCTCCCATCATTTTGATCGCCTCATCACAGCCGTAGATCTCAATCTTCTTGACCATCCCGCGAAACTCAGGCCATGGATCACCACCCATGACCACCATCTTGCCGCCGTGATCCACATAAACCAAAACCCACTTCTTATTAGCTCCACTGAGCTCCCCTCCAATCTCAAACCACTCCTCTAACAAATACATAAGATCATCATAGCCGTCCAATTTTCTGAGATCAACGGCTCTACCTACAGCTCTACCTTGCATTAGAACCTTGGTGCAAGTCCTCCTCTTCAACCTCACTCCACCATTAATGGCTATCAATGGTTTCAAAGCGTTTTCAGTCATGTATTCTTCTCCATGAGTTGCAGGCTCATTCATAAGCTGAACCCCAAATAATTTGAATCCGGCATTCGAGCGGCATGGCCCTGTTCCTTTTGTTACAGGCCCACAAGGCATGCTTTTGCACTGGTTCGCAGGTGGTGGTTCGAGCTCATCGATGAAGTGCTTCATCCCCTTCTCAGATGAAGAGGAGGAGCCATGGCCAGATGCTTCGGATCTCTCGATCTCACTTTCGGGGTTCAGGTCAGGCAATCGGCTTTCAGTTGGATAAATCAATAACGGTGAAGAACTTTCAGAGTTCAGGTCAGGCAATCGGCTTTCAGATGGAGAAATCAATAATGGTGAAGAAATGGGCTCTTTGAGCATGTTGCACAAATAATGGAAGGAAGTTGAAGGGTTTCCAATAAAAAAAGGCGACAAGGGTTCTAAATGAGCTCGTTTTTTTGCAGGTTTAATGGGGCTAAGGCCCATCTCAATGGATTGCTTCTGCTTCATGGCTTTGAGGAACCGCCTCTGTTAAAATTGGAGAAAGGATGGAGAAAAGGAGAGAGAAAGTCAAGGGTTTTGAGTTGGAGAGATTGGTCATTGTTAAGTGGGAGAAGGTCCGGTTAAAAAAGCTTGGGTGGTGCCATGGCCGTTTTACTTTGCTGAGACCTTTGGGTTTCCTCCATTAAAATGAATGGGTAATTTATTTTCTTCCTTATTTAGATGGGTAACGGCTGGAAAATGGCCAGTAAGATTAAGATTAACACGAAAATCTCTCTCTCTCTCTCTCTCTCCTTTGTTAACAGAGCGGGCTGTGGGGGAAGACGTGGGGCGCCTTGCAGTTCATGGACCCTCTCTCTCTCTCATAAATTACATGGGCATCGCAATTCTGAGATATGATGTCAGCCTATTAAACTAAATTAATGAGCTAAAGTTAGGGAGGGTTATCCTCTTATCTTATACAGTGCGAAATTTTAGCTCTCTCTTATTTAACTCCACATGTTTAGCTCTCTCTCTCTCTCTCTCCTTTTTATTCGTAGGAAATAGTGATTTATGTACGTGACCTTAAAACTTAAAGTAAAATACGAAAAGGTACGGTTTGTAGGGAGCCATGGCTCTAAACAATAAAAGTAACGGTCACCTTTAAATAGTGTAGATAAATGTGGTTTCAATATTGAAAATATTTATGATAGTCTTAAAATATATCTTTATTTTTAATTATAATTTTTAAAATTTAAAAATTAATGTGGATCGAACCAATCTATGAATATTTGAAAATCTTAAAAATTCTTGGTCAAAAAATATGTTACAAAATGTACTATTTTCAAAACTCGAAATCCATTTTTTTCTCATGTCCATGCATCTTGATGTCAAGATCATCAATTTAAAAATAATTGGGCATCAAAACAACCCCTTCTAGAGAAAATTTTTGGGTGGACTTTAATAAAAATTTTAAAATAAATTTCGAAAACTCTAATAAAATTATTAAAATGTCAAAATTTCAAGCTATTGGAATTTATGTGTAAGCTTACTAAAAATTTGAGTATTACGGTTTTTAAAGTATCGTAATACTTAGCTTAGTCATTAAGGTACTTAAAAGGCCGTAATTCTTGAAAGCCTACTGGAAAACTACTAAAAATTTGAGTATTATGATCTTTAAAGTACTATAATGCTTAGCGTAGTCATTATGATACTTAAATCGTAATTCCTAAATGCCTACCACATAACTAAAGGAAATTTGAGTATTACAGTACTTAAAGTACTATAATGATACGGCTTTCACGGTAATACCATTACCAAGAAAGCTATTTTGGTAAAAAAAATGTTAAAATTGAAAAAAAATGACTTGGGCAAGGTTTATGAAAGTTGAAAAGTTTTTTTTCTAATTACACTAAAATTAATATATATTTTTGAAAATTTCTCAAATTTTTATTTTTGTGCTTTTAAAATTTATTTTTTTCAAGTTACTACTTATTGGTGTTGAGATTATGCATTCCTAATCTATATTTTAAATAAATTTTGGAGAGAGGAGTCATTTGAATAGGTGTATTGACTGAATTATGGAAACCTTGCCCTCCATCATTTCATGTAGGAAAGATTTGATAGGGCTGCAGTCCTATCAAAATAAGTAAAGTTTCGTCTCATAACTCATAAAACAGCGTAATTCAAGTATTGAAAGACCTTGGCATGTATGGGTCATCTAGGATTTAAAGTTCTATAAATAGTGTACCTTGTAACATATTATTTAGATTTTTTATTTAAAATATAAAGGTTCAATGATCTGCAAGATCTATATTTTTTTTTTTTTTTTGAGTTTTCAATTTTATTTTCGGTGTTGAAAATGGATTTTAGACCCATCAGATTTCCATCGTTAAAAGTGTTTTCCAAAAAAAAATTTGACGTGAGGCTTTATTTTGTTTTCATAAAGCCCGGGCTTTACAGAAACTTCATCGTTTCATGTATAATATACTCCACACAATTAGGATAATGATATGCAGAGACAATGGAGGAGTTCCATCGCTTTGCCTCGCAATCTGCAACAACAATGGCTTCTCTCCGCATAAACCCCATAACTCCCATTCTCTCTATCAAGAAGCCGAAGACACAAGGCCTTTTGAATCAAACTGACCCAAAAACTTATCTCTCCAGAATTCTTCTCCATAGAAATCTTCTCTCTTGGACACCTCTGTTTGGGGCATTTCCCCCACAAAACAGTTTCTCTAGAAAAGCTCCAAAGGCTGAATTTTTCCAAGAGAGCTTTCACTCTGTAAACCTTATATCTAGGAGAGCTCTAATTTCTTCTTTTCCAATCGGTCTTGCGGTAGTTTCACCTGGAGTTTTGCAGGCCCGAGAACGCAGGAACAGGAAAAACATCCCTCTGGAAGACTACCAAACCAGTGGTTTGTTTCTTTCTCTCATCTATTGAAAATTAATCTCTTGATAATATACTGTTCTGTGTTCTCTAATGCTGTAAATTTGTGTTTATATGTGGCATTGTGGATGCAACTTATCTTTGATGTTAGTGAATAACTGGTTTTGTTTGGTTGTTTGATGGAGTGTTTGATTCTACGTTTATGGGCATTCTTTTTTTTGCATGTTAAATTTGTGTCCAAATGGGAAAATTCAGTAAACAGCAGAGCAAAGTATTATTAAGTTTTCTTTAAATTGGTTCATCCTTGAACCCATAGTTTGGGTGCAACACATGTGTTTCTCAGTATCCATTTTGAGTTCTATGGAAAAGTGGTGCCTTTTCATTTTGCTTAAGAACTTGTATTTTTCTTTTTCTTTTTTCTCTTGCAAAGATAAACCTGTGTTTTAGTGTGGGCACATCGAAATGGGTTAAAGAGCGCATCGAAAGAAGCCATTAAAATACATACTGGCAATCATCTGAAAAGCCGCACCAACAGCACCAAAATGCATTTTGGGGTGTCCAGTGAGCCCAAATTTCATCATGGTAAAGTAAATTGGTACATGACTGGTTTATTCAGGAATATTATTTGGTCAGGGAACTGTGGGATAATGTGTGCTGTTAGAACTGATAAATAATCACCAGTGATGATCTAAGTATCCAAATGCTTAAGTGACATGCTTTTTGATTGGAAATTGAAAAGATTGAGAGTTGTGCACTTTGTAATATTATGGATAATTACTCCTACACGCATTTTCTAGTTTGAAATATGTGTTCTTTTTGGTTTGGCAAATATAGGCCATAGCAACAATAGAAATGCACTTTCTGGTTTTGAATTATTTCGATACTTTTGTTCAATCATAAAGTAACTCAAAAATGTTTATATTAATTTGGGTTTGCAAGGTTTATTTAGTTAATTGACTTGAACCCAAACTGGGTGGTACATGGAGATAAATGAGCTGTTCCGTTACATATAGTCAAACATTTGGGAGATCCATGCCATGCCCAGCAGTTGGTCCAATGTAGGTTCTTTGTGTCTTGGAATTCATGAGCTATAGATACATCTCACCCTATGGAGACATTATTATAATAGGTTTCTGGGGGATGAATTGGTGGGAGAGCAGTATCTGCTTGTTAGATTTCAGGGTTGTATGGGTAAAAATTAATAGGGAGGCCCTAATTTTGAACTTGCGTTAAATGAAGAGGGGTACAAAAAATTTGGTGTCTTAGGCTTGGGTTGGTTCTAGGGGAGGACGAAGTTATTGAGGTATTGCAGTTACAATAGCTGATGGAGGGTGTTTTCGTTGTCATATGAGCGGCAGATAGACATGTTCAGATGTAGGGGTTTTGGGAAGTTTTCTCAGGCAATTTGTTTCACATGCATTCTTGACTTGGAAGGATATTTTGTCTTTTGAAAATCCCTCCAAAACTTAGTTTCAAATTTAAAAAGATTTCTTTGACTTTGAGAATGATGAGTGGACTTTAATAGTAATTTAAAATTACAAAATGTCATTCCCAAATTTTATTGTTAATGTAATTTTCATATTTATAAGGACATTTTTGTTGTAAAAGATTTTGGAGTAGGAAATTCTTAGTTCACCAGAGAGATAGAGAGAGAGTCCCATGAAAGCTTATTGAAATTACCAGAATCGTATGGCTTTCATTTTAGCACCTCTGCTATGAAGCCTGTGTCTATGCAAAATTGGCCGTTCTAAAGTTACTAGAGGGCTAAGTATTTGGGCTTGATTACCCATCCTTGTAATGGGCTTCTTTCATGTCTTGCAATTCTACATTTATGGTCTATCTATTGTATCATTTCTTAGATAAGTCAAGGAAGTTAATTACCAGCGGAAAGAATGAGGATAGTTTCAATCTTCCAGAGTGTGAATCATTCTATAAAATTCCAAGAGAAGCATTAACTGTTTAGTACTCTGCTTGTACTTCACAATATGAATGACACCAGAAACTTGGGTAACTTTACAAATATAACTTTTGGAGATTCAACTTTAGTAATTTGTTGGCATTCTTATCTTGGATATTTCTTTTCAAAGACAATGAAACTTGATTCTCTTTTCTTTTTTAGCTGTGTCTTCTTTTATAACCTCTCAAATTGCAAATCAGCTGATGGACTGAAGTACTTCGATCTTGTTGAGGGAAATGGCCTTAAAGCTGAAAAAGGCTCTACTGTTCGGGTTTGCCCTTAGCTCAAACAATCTTTTGAAGTTATTTCGATGATTGATGAAAGCACATTCTCATTAATGTATATTCACAGAAATTTCTTGTTTCTAGGTTCATTTTGACTGCATCTACCGTGGTATTACGGCTGTCTCAAGTCGTGAATCAAAACTACTAGCTGGTAATCGCATTATTGCTCAGGTTATTGTCATTTACCTTAATTTTTCTCCTGTTGGTTTTCTTATAACTGAATGAATATATATTTCGGCAATGCTTAAAAACCCGGACTTGGGTTTGGACTCACTAAATTCCCCAGCCTGAGTCAGAGGCTGACTTAGACCAAGTCAAATTGCCCGACTCAGCCGAGTCACAATCATTATATATTTCTTGGATTCGTGTCCGACTTGTCTAATTTTCAGGGTTTGTCACAGATCCAACTGACTCGGGCCAGTCCAAGCCCGAGCCAGTGATTCCTTAGAAGCTGGTTTGAAAAACATGGGTTTGTTCTTTCTAGTAAGGTGGATGTAACTCCTGAACATTTTAGTTTGGTGCCATGCAAAAATTCTGTAGAATGATGATAATAGATGGATCTGTAGAAAGTAATTCTTGGATAGTTTTGAAACTTCTCCGTCGTTACATCATTGATTTTTCACGTGACTGTTACTTGGCCAAATAATTGTAGTTTATACTTATAAAAAGTAACTTGGCCAGATGAGTAAGGGTTAATTGTGAGCTTCTTAAGATACACTAAGAGACTATTGTGATAGCAATTTGAGATTTCTGAGGCAACTTTTCTACAGTCTGGGATATGTTGTCTTGGTCGATGCTTCTTTTCCATGGTTTCATTACATGATCACTAAGGCAATGATTCTTTCTTCATTCCCTATCATTGGAATGACTGCCTCACCTTTATAGTTTCTCTCTCTCTCTCTCTCTCTCTCTCT